GTTGCCTGGATTCCACATCTTGAAGTGTCCTTGGGCAAGACACTGAATATAGCCATAGCGACTAATTGCGGTGGCAGAGTAGCACTGACAGGCCGAGTAGCACTGACAGGCTGAGTAGCACTGACAGACGAGTTACAGACAGATGAACACCGCGGGGCATACTAGCAGGTAAACGGAACACCAGAGTTGAACCGCGGGAATCTTGGGACACATACACATAGTACAAACCGGGTAGCATAAACGTAGGGTAACATAGGGTATCGTATGCGTATGAACCAGCAAAAGCGCAGCGGCAGACAGTGTGGTTATATATATCTGACGGGACCGGGAGACAATGAGCGGCAGGTGGGAGGAATGATGACTGATTGCTGGGAGAACCGCAAAGGACAGGACCGGGAGATAACAGGCAACAGGTGACAGACATGGCGACTAATTGCGGTGACAGAGGAGTGGGGAAGAGAACAGGTAAACAAACAAAGCCAGGAAGCCGATCAACGTGACACCGTAACACATCAACTGTATTTTTCCTCTCAGACGTCTCTATCCCCTGGATAAAGCCGTCCCAGAGAGCATCATAATCATCATTTTCATCACCACACAAGGAATAATTAAAAGTGCAGTGTATCTGATCAACAGGTTCGGTATACTTGTGAAGGATTGAGATCCATGGAAGCCATAAATTGAATGTATGTACAAGATCAGTGTTTTCAGGTGAATTTACAAGTCCCCACCAAACGTCAGCTGAAGGATCAAGATGCATGTCAACACCAGAGGGTGTGGTCTGCAACATCTGTCTGAATGTGGCTTTTGGAGTTGCACAACGTTGAATGGAACCGTCTGGAAAAGTGATGTCCACATGGCACGATGACATCATCATGGTAACATTCAGAGAACACAAAATATCACGTGTCAGAAGATTAACGGGACAAGATGGAGAAAGTAGGAATGAATGATAGAATGAAAGATTGTTCCATTTACAAGGAACTTCTTCAGAGAACGGCCATTCCTCTTTCAAACCCGAGAAGCCGATAACAGATGTAGTACGCTTTGAACGTGGGAGTGGCGAATTTAAAGTAGAGTACCTTGCTCCTGAGTCGATCAAGCACAAATGATCTCGACCGTTGATAGTCACTTTGACTAGTGGTTCAAGAAACATTTTCTGTGAGCTCAGGGAATCACCTGTTACAGACTTTCTGCAGCCCTATTGCTGAGGCATCTGATTAGATCCAGGTGCCTGATATTGAGCTGAAGGTGTATATGGCAGTACATTAGTAACCTGAGCAGGATATGATCCTGCTGGTCCTGGCCCCTGCTGATAAAGAACTGGGCAGTTTCGCGCCCAGTGTCCTCTCTTGTGACAAATTAGACATCTGTCATCTCTCACAAAAGTTCTCCTGTTTGCCCTGGACCCTCGACTACGTGCTCGTGATCTGCCACGATTCTGAAAGCCACTACTCACGGGCTGTGAATTCCACGAATAAGGCTGAGGCTGTCCAGGGACAGGTGCTTGTGCATTATGTACAAAAGCAGAGGGCTGTGCATACTGCTGAGTAGCACCCGCATACATCTGCTTATCTGCAGCTTTCTGTTGATTCACTTTATCTCTCATCTCTTTAAGTTGTGCATTTGTCAGCTGTGCTTGTAATGATGAGAGACCCTTTTCATCTTTTTCTCTATCTTCTTTGTCGTTGTCAATTTACTGAATAATGTGAGCTGACCACTGCTCGAAGGGGAGAGCATTTAAGCCAATCACTTGTTTCAACCACTGCTGGATATTTACAGAGAGGGAAGAATCAACAGCACTGCAGAACAGTAACCCAACACTGTCAACCATCGCAGGATCTTCGCCACTGTAATTATGCCACAGTTCTCATACCCTGATGAGGTACTGGCTTCCTGTCTCCCCAGTCTGTGGAGGAATGTGAGACAGCTTGACACTCTGGGCTCGTAGTGGATATTTCATCTTGACCACAGGCCAGAGCGCATGTATTACAGCTTGAAGTGAGACTGAGTCACCATCTCTA